CAGAGGGGAGGACTCACAAGAATGGGTTTAAATTCAGGGGTCATTTCGTAGAAAAAGAGCTAGGGGAACTCATTAGCATAACTCATTAGCATATGCCACACACCCTGACATCACCGGAAGTGTGTCCTCCCCACAGCTGGCGGCGACCTCCAGCGGGCACCAGCAGGGAGCTCCAGGCCCCGCCCTCCCGCACCTCACCCGGGGGGATGGCGTCTCCCCGCCCCCCCCCCCAAATGACCCCTGTTTAAATTAAAGGCGGGAAGGTACCGGCTGCATCTCAGGATACACTTTTTTACAGTCAGAGTTGTGCAGCAGTGGAATCAGCTGCCTAGGGAGGTGGTGAGCCCCCGCTCATTGGCAGTCTTCAAGCAGCGGCTGGACAAACGCTTGTCAGGGATGCGCTAGGCTGATCCTGCATCGGGCAGGGGGTTGGACTAGATGGCCCCTTCCAACTCTGTGCAATTCTATGATTCTAGTCCATGGAACTTACTGCCAAGGGAGTGTGCCCGGGCTTGCAGCTTTCACAGTGCGGTGTTACAACCCAGGAGGCCTCTAAGGTCCATTAGATGGTTGCCTCTGCCAAAGTTTCACCAGTCAGATGAGTAAATGGGCATCCTTGGTATTTGCTGTAGAAGAATCTGAGGGAGTCCAGGAAGGTGCGGTCTGGTATTTCATTAATTTCTTTTGGGCAGGGTCTGTGGACTTTAAAAAAGAGAGAGAAAGAAAGAAATCAAAACTGTTTTTAATTTTTAACCTATTGCAAAGCGCTGAAAGCCGTGGAAATGGATTGGCTCTAGTTAAAATTTGCTGTCTCTTTTTTTTTGGGGGGGGGGAGTTGGTGCTTCAAATGTGATCTGATTTCTCTCCCCCACTCCCACACGTCCTGTTGCACAGCCGGATGCCGGGGAATGTTCCTGAAAGTGCTTTTTGAGTCACTCAGAGGCTTGAGAAGTCCGTAACTCCCTCCCTCTTGCTGCAGAGATTCCAGAGTTGCAGTCTTAAAAGAGAATGGCCAGGAAGACGAATAAACATATTTCCGAATCCAGCAATAACGCAATGGCTGAAAATGAGCCCGTGGAGAAGAATGGAGTCATTGGCTTGACCTATGTAAGTACAGAGACTGAGGCTGGGAGAAAGTGGCTGCCCTGCAGAGATCTAAAGGTAAAGGTAAAGGTTCCCTTGCTCGAAAGCCAGTCGAGTCCGACTCTAGGGTTGCGGTGCTCATCTCCGTTTCAAAGCCGAAGAGCCAGCGCTGTCCGAAGACGTTTCCGTGGTCATGTGGCCAGCATGACTAAACACCAAGGCGCACGGAACGCTGTTACCTTCCCACCGAAGTGGTACCTATTTATCTACTTGCAATTTCTAAAAAGTGAACTTCTGAGTATTATGGAAGCTGGCAACCTTAGTGTACAGGGTTGCCAACTGGCCAGGAGAAAACTAGCCTGCCCTTTTAAGAGAGGCTTAATGGGATGTTATTTAACAGGTGACTTTATTTACCCCCCATGAAAAAAATTTCACCTGCCCATCAATGCTTCCTCTAAGTTGTGGAGTCTTGTGAGCAAAAATTCTACTTTGCTGGCAATAAAGTTGGGAGCGAGTGCTTTGGCTGCTGCATGGATGAGTTTGCTCTGGAGCCATCCTTCCTGAGCTAAGATGAAAAGGTGTGAGCCGGAGGCTAAAAAACTGTGAGCTAGCTCACACAAACTCAGCTTAGAGGGAACACTGCCGCCCATTTCCATGCATCCAGCCTCTACGAAAAGGATTAGACGTTTTTCTCCAGGCCAGTTAGCAACCCTAGTGTACCACTCTTTTTGCTCTTCTTTTGATTGCTTCTCATTTGGATATCTGGTAGTTTGTTAGAAGTGCATTGAAGCTGTGTCTCGGGGCAGAGCGTGAGCATTACTGACTGGGGTGGGGTGTCTCTGTAATATTTTTTTTTAAATTCTAAGGAGGAATTTGCCCAGTTAGATATTGTCGATCAGGCAGCCAAGAGTAACATTTCTCATCCACAGCCACAGAACTGCTTTTAATCCAAAAAAATATTTCTAATGGAAATGGTTTGGTTATTTCTTTGGAACACTGCACAAAGGGAACGCCCGGGGGGGGGACTCTTGTCCTTGAGGTACGCTAAGTACAGCTGCCAACCTCCAGGTGGGAGCCAAAAATGAGAGATCACGGGAGGAAGTGGAATTCCAAGAACAATATCTGTGACAAAAATAACAAGTAAAAAAAGATGTTGCAAAAGCGTTTACTGTCGTGATTCTGTAGAAATTTTCCTTCTATTATCGCTCAAACGCTAACGAATACTGTGCGATGAAAACGATTCGTTGGGTTCTGTTATTAGAGAGTCAGCATGGAATGTTGATGTAGAAATTGATAAGAATTGGGATGGCTACCCGCTCCGATAAAGCAAACATTGTGAAACAAATTGTTTTCATTGCACAGTATTCGTTGTGTGTGAGCGATAATAGAAGAGAATTTTCTACGGAGTGACTACAGTAAACGTTTTTGCAACGTATCTTGATTGACTCTTCGCTATTTTTGTCACGGATGTTGTTTTTGGAATTCCTCAACCTCCAGGTGGGGCCTGGAGATCTCCTGGAATTGTAACTGATCTCTCGACCACAGAGAACAGTTTCCCTGGAGAAAATGGCTGTTTTGGAAGGTACAGTCTGTGGCATTATGCTCTGCTGTAGTAACACCCCACCTCAAGCCCCACCCTCCCTTAGGGTTGTCAGGTCCCCCTGGCCACCAGCGGGGGAGGAGGGAATCGGGTTGCCAGATCCACATTAGGAAATTCCTGGAGAGTTGGGGATGGAGCCTGGGGAGGACAGGAACCTCAGTAGGGTCCAGTGCCATAGAGTTCATCCTCCAAAACGTTCATTTTCTCCAGGGGATCTGATCTCTGCAGTCTGGAGATGAGCTGTAATTCCGGGGGAGCCCCAGCTCCTACCTGGAGGTTGGCATCCCTACTCCACCCCCAAATCTCCGGGAATTTCCCAAACTGGTGTTGGCAACCCTACCTGTGAGAGGCAACTCTTAAAAATAAAGGGCAGCAGAGGGGCTGTGCAGAGCCTTCTCTCTGGCCCTTCCTCCCCGGGCAGCTGTTTTACAGCATGGTGTTTTGCCCAGACAATTGCTCTGTGCAGGGGTCGTTTCGTAGAAAAAGAGCTAAGGGGAACTCATTAGCATAACTCATTAGCATATGCCACACCCCCTGACATCAGGGGCCCAGCGGTGGACCTGCAAGGCCGGCGGGAGTGCGAGGAAGCCCCGCGAAGGCCCTCCCTGGCCCCAGGCAGGCAGGGGTGGGGAGAGGGGGGGAGGAAGCAACTTACCCTCCCTCTTCTCCTGCCTCCTCCTGGCTGAATGAGGGACGGAAGCGGAGCGGCCGGAAGCAGGAGGCGGGGCTTCGTCGTGTGCCCCGCCCCCCGTACCTCACCCGGGGGAACTGCGATCCCCCGCGATTCCCCCCGAATCGACCTCTGGCTCTGTGGCTCTCTCCTTGACCCATACAAACGAAACCTTCTCTGTCCTCCGTTCCTGCTTCTCATTCATGCAACCAGGCCAAATCGTTGGGATGACGTTTCCTTAACAGAAGCTGGCATGGAGTGGGGTGGGGAGAGGCAGAGGAGATTGGATAAACATCAAAGCCCGCAACAACCCTAGGAGGCAGGGCGGGAGAAGGAGAAGGAGAGATTGGATTTATACCCCACCCTTCACTACCCAAAGGTGTCTCAGAGTGGCTTACAAACTCCTTTCTCTTCCCCTCCCCACAACAGACACCCTGTGAGGTGGGAGGGGGACTGAGAGAATTCTGAGAGAACTGTGACTGACCCAAGGTCACCCACATGGCTTCATGTGGAGGAGTGGGGAATCAAACCTGGTTCTCCCGATTAGAGTCCAACACTTTCAACCACTACACCATGCTGGAGGGGGGAGAGACTGGCCCCAGGGCACCCAGTGAGCTCCACGGGAGAGTGGAGATTTGAACCCGGGTCTCCCAGAGCCTAACTTGACAATATAAATACCACACACACTAGAACCTTGAACACATTAAGCTGCCTTCTGCTGTGCTAGACCTTGACCTTCTGGTTGCCAGCTCCATGTTGGGAAGTATCTGGAGATTTTGGAGGCGGAGCCTGAGGAGGGCGGGGTTTGGAGTGGGGTGGGATTCCATTGGGGTGTAATGCCACAGAGGCCACCTTCCAAAGTGGCCATTGTCCCCGGTGAATTGATCTCTGTCCCCTGGAGAACAGTTCTACTATCAGGAGACGTCCGGCCACCACCTGGAGGCTGACGACCCTTCCTTGGCCTATCAAGACCGGTTTTGTCCACTTCTCAGGGAGAGGTCTTCCACCCCACCTTCTACACCATCCCTCTAAAGCTGGAGATGCCAAAGCTTGAACCTGGGACCTTCTGCATGCCAAGCAGATGCTCTGCCCCTGAGTCATGGCCCCTCCCCTGTTCTGGAATGTTCCCTGCTGGTTCAGAATGACTGTTGAGCCAGTCAGTTGGGGGGAGATAGTTCAATGGGCATGAAAGCCACAAGGTTTCCTTCCAGGTGGAAGTGAACTACGAGAAAAAAGGGTTGGTGGGGGTGGAGAGAGGAATCTATGCAGCACGTCATAGAAGACAGATGGAAACCAGGCAGCAGAGCAGAGCTTCTTAAAAGGAACAGTCCAAAATCACAGAAAGGTATGTGATTGTCATTCCTGTTCATAGTGTGGTCTGCTACAACATGCCTGTGGATACTGCAGGGAGTGCCTTTGGCAGCGGGAAACAGAAATGGGTGCCCTTGTTCAGGATTTAAGGTTCTAGGGGAGCATCGGTTCCTCACTTGTATATAGGGCTGCCAGGTCCTACCCATCTGCCGGCGGTGGGCTCCTGGCTTGTTCCTTGGGTCTTCTGGCCCGGAAGTGACATCATCACGCCGGGCACGTTGTGCCAGGGACATTCTAGCACTTGGCTAAAACCTCTATGGTCACCATAGAGTTTTTAGCCAAATGCTACAGCGCCCCCTGCACGACGTGCCCGGGCTCTTTGGGGGTGGGGCTCCCCCACTGGTCAGTTGGCCAGCAGCAGATTGGGCCTCCCAAAATTGAGGGAACCCTCACCCCCAACTGGGGGGTGGGCAACCCTATGTGTATATCAGCCATCTTTTCGGTATCCGCTGACCTAATACATCCGCATAAGCTGAATTTTGGAACTGCATTAGCATTCTTTCAGAAAAGTACAACTCGCATCTGGTTGCAGTCTAGGCCTGCCACTTACCCACTTGTGGTGGAACCTTCTCCTACCGCTCCTGGGATCCCCGCACTCACTCAATAGAGCAGTGTGGTGCAGCGGTTAAGGGAGTTGGACTAGTACCTTGTAGACCCTGGTTCAAGTCTCCACTCTGCCAAGAAAGCTTGCTGGGTGACCTTGGGTCAGTCACACTCTCTCAGCCTGCCCTACCGCGCAGGGTTATTGTGAGGATAAAATGGAAGAGAGGAGAACAATGTAAGCTGCTTCAGGTCCACTCAGGGGAGAAAGGTGGGGTACAAATGAGTGAGTGAATGAATGAATGAATGGATGGATGGATGGATGGATGGATGGATGGATGGATGAATAAATGGATGAATGAATGAATGAATGAAATAGAGCAACTGGAGGAAAGGGTGAAGATGCCATTTGATGCCGTGATGTCCCTTCCAGGTTAGAGAGCCAGCGTGGTGTAGTGGTTAAGAGCGGCAGACTCTAATCTGGAGAACCGGGTTCGATTCCGCACTCCTCCAAATGAAGCCAGCTGGGTGACCTTGGGTCAGTCACAGCTCTCTCAGAGCTCTCTCACCCCCCCCCCAGAAGTCTAGCTCACCACCTAGTGGTGCAGAACGCTAAAAGAGTTAGAACTTAAGGCTGCCAGAAATCTTCGGATCTCCTGGCTGTACCACACACAATGCCATACGATAATGATTAATGATTACTTCCAGGTTTTACCCAGAAGTGATGGCAAACACACTCCAGGAAGTGTCACTGTTAGAGGGCAGCTGTTGGGAAATAAGTGGGGTGCCACAGGGGCCTAATTTAGATCAAGCCCATGGTGTGTGGAGGGAAATAAGGGTTTTCAGCCTCCCCCCATGCCATTTTCTCAACCCAGACTGCCCTGGGGAGATTATTTACCCCACTGTGGGGGACTGCATGTGTCATATTGGCGCTAAGATTCCTGATCTTGCTTGTGCCACTAATGGGGGGTAAAAGGTAAAGGTCTCCCTTGCTCGAAAGCCAGTCGAATCCGACTCTAGGGTTGCGGTGCTCATCTCCGTTTCAAAGCTGAAGAGCCAGCGCTGTCCGAAGACATTTCCGTGGTCATGTGGCCACCATGACTAAACACCAAGGCGCACGGAACGCTGTTACCTTCCCACCGAAGTGGTACCTATTTATCTACTTGCAATTTCTTGCTTTTGAACTGCTAGGTTGGCAGGAGCTGGAACTAGAGACGGGAGCTCACTCCGTCATGCAGCAACTTGGGTCTCGAACTGCTGAACTACTGACCTTCCACAGGCTGCAGTTCAGCGTCTTAACCACTTGAGCCACCGCAGCTCCTTCTAATGGGGGGATTTGCAAATAAGAATCTGCGGGGAATGTGGGGGTTTGTTCCTTCCCCACCCGTTAGCTGTCAGGCAGCTTTGATTTAATTTGATTTAATTGAAATTTAATTTAACTGTAATTAGCAGAATCCAGTTTTATCTATGTGCCATTTACAGGCTATGGATCATTTTCCCCAAGCTGGGAAGGGAATGGCCACCAAATTAACAGCGGGATGAATGGACCCTTCGTGCTGTCCTCTGTTTCTTTAGAAATTTATACCCCACTTCTGTCCCTAACAGGAACTCAAAGCAGCTTACAATATTGTTCTCTCCATCCCTCTGGGATGTCTCCCGTTTCCCAGCGAAAGCCAAGCCAGTTTAGATTTTAAAAGAGGAACAATAAAGAGAAGTCATTAAGATGAACAGCCTCTTTCTTGTTTGCTTGTTTCAAAGAGGAATCTCACCGAGGACAAGGAGTCTTGGTACCTGAAAACCACCAGGATGATTTCTTCCGAGCTTTATCTGCGTCCCGACTTGGATCACTCAGATGATGAGAAGACTTTTTCCCGGAAATATTCCCCGAGTTTAAAAACGATGATTCCCATCCGCTTGAAAAAAAGGCAGGTTCTGCATTTTTTTAAAAAAATTAATTCTGAATGTGATAATAAAACACATTGAAAAGACCATCTTGAAAGAAACGAATTTAGAGTCCAGGGGCACCTTCAAGACCAAGAAAGCTTTCTTCAAGGTATGATCTTTCGTGTGCATGACCACTTTTTCAAATACCTTGGAATGGTAGGTAAGGTTCTAAACTTATAGACAGGGACTGAACAGCAAAATTAACATGTAACATGATGATGTTTAAGATATGCAAAGTCAAAACTAAATAACAAGCGAAGGTCAACGATTGTAAAACAATAAATATGTAAGATTAGCAGATAAATGTCTAAAGGTGGTTTTTTTCTCTAATTGTGGGAAGCAAACCGAGAATCTCCATTCTCTCCTCCCCGGCGAGGAGATCACTTAACAGCACTTTTTTTTTTGCAAAGATATGACTTTACATGTTCAGCTGCAACTTGATGGCACTTTGCACCCACACATCTATTACAGGAGGGCACAGCTTGCTAATAATGTTGAAGGGCTGGGCCACTTTTGATGTTCTTAGGGTGTGTGTGAGAATTTACTGTAGGCTGACTACTTTTTGAAACAATCATTTGTTTGCATGTTTTATAATCCATCTCTCTCAATGAGACTCACGGCAGTTTCCACAGACTTAGGTGCAAGGGAACCTTTACCTTTACTATAAGTTTTAACCTTACCTCCCAGTCCAATGTATCTGAAAAAGTGAGCACGCACACGAAAACTCATACCTTGAATGAACCTTTGTTGGTCTTAAAGGTGCCGCTGGACTCTAAATTTGCTCTACTGCTTCAGACCAACATGGTTGACCAACTGGATCTATCTTGAAGGAAAGGCTGTCTTTGCTTTCTCCCACCCACCCCTGGGCCCTGACTCAATATCCCAGGCTAGCTTGATCTTGGCAGATCTCAGAAGCTAAGCAGGGTCAGCCCTGGTTAGTACTTGGATGAGAGATCACCAGGGAAGTCCAGGGTCACTGTCCAGAGGCAGGCAACAGCAAGCAACCTCTGTTAGTCTCGTGCCTTGAAGAAGAGAAGAAGAGATTGGTCTTCTTCTTCTTCTTCTTCTTATAAACAAAGCAGGAAGGTCTGGATTGCAGAAGTCTGAGTGTGGAGCTGAAACGAAGCAAAAGCGTTTGAACGTGAAACGTTAAGCAATGCAGAAATGATATAGCAGCAGACAGTATGTACTATACACCGCAGTATAGTCTGCAGCAATGTTCCCTCTAAGCTATGGAGTCTTGTGAACAAAAATTCTTCTTTGTGAGCTACTGGCCTTAAAGTTGTGAGCGACTTATTTGGTTACTGCATCAATTAGTTTGCTCTGGAGCCATCCTTTCTGAGCTCAGACAAAAATGTGTGAGCTGGAGGCTAAAAAACTGTGAGCTGGCTCACACTAACTCAGCTTAGAGGGAACACTGGTCTGCAGTCCCTATAAGTTTAAACAATTGGGAAAGGCTGTGCAGAGGGGGAGACCTGACTTTCTCTGGGACCACGTCTGACCAAGAGGCCACTCATTGGCTAACCCATGGACACGTGAATCTGCCTTATACAGAATTAGACCCTTGGTCCATTGAGGTCAGTCTTCTCTACTCGGACTGTCAGTGTCTCTTCAGTGTCCCAGGCAGTGTCTTTCTCATCACCGACTACCTAGTCCTTTTGACTGGAGGTGCCGGGGACTAAACCTGGGACCTTCCGCATGTTAAGCAGAGGATCTGCCACTGAACCACAGCCTCTCCACTTCCACTGAGTTATAACCAAGGCTCCCTCCAAGCTGCGGAGTCCTGTGAGCAAAAATTCTACTTGGTGAGCGACTGGCATCAAAGCTGTGAGCGAGCGATTTGGTGACTGCATCAATTCGTTTGCTCGGGAGCCATCCTCCCTGAGCTGAGACAGAAATGTGTGAGCTGACTCACAGTAACTCGGCTTAGAGGGAACACTGGTCATAACCCAGATATCTTATATTTGGGCATAATCTGAATACGATGAAATGGACGAAAGGACCTTGTTGAATGGATTGTTTAAGTAGCTACGCAGTGGCCAAAACCCAGATATTGGCCAAAACTCAGACCAAAACACAGTGGCCAAAATTCAGGAGGTCCATCAGCAGGGCCAGAACTCCAGAAGCCCTGCAACTGTTGCCCGTCAAGCACCAAGAATACAAAGCGTCACTGCCTCAAAAAGCCCTGCAACTGTTGCCCGTCAAGCACCAAGAATACAAAGCGTCACTGCCCCAGACATCTATACCTTGTGGCTGATAGGCACTGATGGACCTCTGCTCCATATGTTTATCCAATCCCCCCTTGAAGCCGTCCATGCTTGCAGCCGCCACCACTTCCTGTGGCAGTGAATTCCATGTGTTAATCACTCTTTGGGTGAAGAAGTGCTTCCTTTTATCTGTTCTAACCCGACTGCTCATCAGTTTCATTGAGTGTCCACAAGTTCTCATACTGTGAGAAAGGGAGAAAAGTACTTCTTTCTCTACCTGCTCTATCCCAAGCATAATTTTGTAAAGCTCTATCACGTCACCCCTCAGTCGTCCTTTCTCCAAGTCAAAGAGCCCTAACCACCTTGCAGTGAAAAGGTTCATTTCCATGCATATTAAAGAGGCAGGATAGTTTTCTCCTGGCCAGCTGGCAACCTGAGGTATCTGTGCTTACCTGTACAGGAGCAACAGCTCAGGTCACATAACAAATTACCAGAACGCCACTAGAATCTCTCATTGATTGATTTATTTTCCTGCAGATCCGTCAGTCCGGTGGATGACGCGGGGCTGGTCTCATTCGCAACGTTCTCATGGATTTCGTTCTTAATGGTAAAAGGATGCAGACACAAGATCGACATGGACACTTTGCCTCCATTATCGTATTATGACAGTTCGGAGCCGAATGCCAAAAGGTAGCATCGTTTGGACACCATTGTTTACCTAAGAGCTCTCTGGACAGGAACCTAAAGGAACAATGATTTGCATTTCCCTGGACTTTTGAGGTCTAACGAGCAATTCTTTGCAGCAAAATAACCCTCCTCAAAACCTTCCTGCTGCTTCCTGTAACCGAGCGGTGATGCCAGGCAGGAGGCGATGCAAAGGGCCAGCATTTATGTAGAATTTTCATCACATGCTAGACTCTTATCTTCTTTGCCTCCCCCATCTTCACAGTGGCTTCCCAGAGAAGGTCCTTATTAGTCCCATTGTGCAGGGGAGAAATGGAGCTAGGAAGAATGCAATGGGGAAATGAAACAGCCATTTTTATAGCTATCATCTGCTGGCTGGGACAGTACCTCGTGAGGAAAGGCCAGGATCCGGCTGTTGTGCAGATAAAGATGACCAGGCTGGGCTGGGGGAAGCCAATGAGCTGCCGGGATGGAGTTGGTGGTAGAAGGGTTGTCACTGCTGGGTTGGGAAATCTGGGGGTGGAGCCTGAGGGGGCGGGGCTTTGGGAGGGGAGGGTCTCCTGGAGGGTGCAATGCCATGGAGTTCATTTTGAGAAACGACACCAGGTGTCCCCAACCTTTTAAAGCCCGCAGGCACCTTTGGAATGCTAAAACAGCATGGTGGGCACGGCAACAAAATGGCTGCTACGGGAGGCAGAGCCAGCCACTCACTGGCTACCGCAGCTTACGAAAAAGAAGAGTAGTTTTTTTATACCTCACTTTTCTCTACCCGAAGGAGTCTCAAAGCGGCTTACAATCACTTTCCCTTCCTCTCCTCACAACAGGCACCTTGTGAGGTAGGTGGGGCCGAGAGAGTTCTGAGAGAACTGTGCCTGGCCCAAGGTTACCCAGGAGTGGGGGACCAAACCCAGATTAGAGCTCACCACTCTTAACCATGACCCCACGCTGGCTCTTCAGTCACTCACTGAAGATCTTTGTGCTGTGGAGGCAGCGGCTGCCGAAGCAATGCTGCTTGAAACCTGCACAGCCAATCAAGTCTCCCCTGGCCCTTCAGAAGCCTTGCTGGGCAAATGCCCCACCTGGCCCCACCCGCTCTCTATAAACACCTGGCAGGCACCAGAAAAGTTGTCACTTGGCACCTTGGCTCCCACGGGCACCATGCTGGGAATCCCTAAGTTACACACTTCTACGTCTCACGAGTTTAATGGAGAGGGTTGTAGCCAGGGCTATTTTGGGGCAGGAACAGAGTTCCGTCCTGCTTCAGAGTTGACCACGCCCACTATAGCCAAATCCTCTGCGTGTGGGTGGCTACAGAGGGAAGGCCTGGAGAGTGACGCCCCCCAGTGATTCTGAGGCAGGCGGCCCAGGGGGGGGCCCTGGAAGGATCGAGGAGGCATTGAAAGGCCTCCCCTCCCCTCCAAGGGCTGGCTTGCCCGGGTGCCCTGCAGCCGCGGGGTGCCCAGGCAAGCCAAGGGAAGGCAGTTTAAACTGCCTTCCCTTCCCTTCAAGGGGGGGCTTGCCCGGGCAAGCCAAGGAAATGCATAGGGTTGTGGTCTAATATGCTAATGTGTTTCTGCTGTTAGGTGTGGCCTATTATGCTAATGGGTTCCTGTTGGGCTGTTTCTACAAAAAAAGCCCTGGTTGTAGCTCCGTTGAGGACAGCATTGTAATATGCTTATCCCTTTAGAATTCCTCAACCAGCTAAGTCTGTGCAGTTCCATTGTTTTTTAATTCCCCCTTATGAAGTGCTGGGCTATAGACCCACTCCCTTGATTGACGTGTTGAGGCCTCTCCTTAACATATGCCAGACCCCCCCCCGTGGGGTTGGGGGTCCCTTGCTCCCAGAGGCCACCTCTCTGCTGCCAATCAGCTGGCTGGCGAAGGGGACTTAACTGCAAAAAAAGGATCTCTCACCCAATGTTTTAGCAACATCCACAATGTGATTTCAGTGTGACCCGGAAATGATGTAGATGCAACGGGGATATCAGGGCGATGCTCTGGTTTTTGGGCAATAACTCTATGGTAGAAGCTAATTCTACCGTAGCATTTTTGCCCCCAAACCAGAGTGTCTCCCCGACTGTGCCTACATCACTTCCGGGTCACATTGAAATTCACATCGAGGAAACATGGTGACACTCCCTGTTCTTGGTAACCCAGTCCCCATCCCTCACCGGCTGGCCAGAGGGACCTGGCAACCGTAACTCAAATGGATACAACAGAGACCTGAAGTGGAAATGGATGGTGGAAGCAGGTTTTTGTGACATAGTCCGGGACAGGAGGAGACCTTTCTCAATGTGGCCATTTGCTCCTCTTGACAGATTTCGACTGCTTTGGGAAGCCGAGCTGGCAAAATTCGGACCGGAGAAAGCCTCTCTCGGCCGAGTTGTTCTTAAGTTCCAGAGAACCCGGATTTTGACAGACATCCTGGCAAACTGCATTTGCGTTATTTTTTGCGCTTTAGGACCGGTGAGTCACTTGAGACAATATTTGCAAAAATGCATTTAAAAAGTGTCTTTTGCTCTTTGTCAGGGTGAATAGTTTGCATCCGGAAAGTCCCAGGGACCTTCTCCATTGCAAAAGGGTCTGGTTTTGCAAGGGCAGCCGGACTAGCTCGAGCCTGTTAGGGCTTGGAAGCTAAGAGGAGTTGGCTATGTTTAGTAGTACTTGGAAAGAGGTACTTTCCAAGTACTACTAAACATAGAAAGAGGCACTTTTCTCCATTTCTCACAATACAAGAACTCGTGGGGACTCCATGAAATTGCTGAGCAGTCGGGTTAGAACGGATAAAAGGAAGTCCTTCTTCACCCAAAGAGTGATTAACACATGGAATTCACTGCCACAGGAGGTGGTGGCAGCTACAAGCATGGACGGCTTCAAGAGGGAATTGGAGAAGCATATGGAGCAGAGGTCCATCAGTGGCTATTAGCCACAAGGTCTAGATAGGGGCTCTGGGGCAAGTGATGCTTGGGGGGGGTGTCAACAGTGGGAGGGCTTCTAATGTCCTGGCCCCACTGGTGGACCTCCTGATGGCACTGGTATTTCTGGCCACTGTGTGATACAGAGTGTTGGACTGGATAGGCCTTTGCCCTGATCCAACATTGGCGTCTCTTATGTTCTTATGGATGGGAGACCACCAAAGAAGAGCAGGGTTACCACGCAGAAGAAGGCCATGGAAAACCGCCTCTGAACATCTCTTACCTTGAAACCCCCATGGGGGTCACCATAAATCAACTGCAACTTCATAGCACTTAACCTTTATATTAATCTTAATCTACCTGAAGAAGCCTGCCTTGGAGAGCCACTGCCAAAATCGACAGTGCTGACATCAGTGGCCTGAATCAATGCAAGGCTGCCTTTTTGTTTTGTGCTGAATCTCACCAAGGGTCTGTCTAGCAACCCCATCTCTTTTCCACAGTGGTGAACCAGATGCCACAGAAAGCTCACCATGAGGCCTCTCCTTAACATATGCCAGACCACCCCCCCCAGTGGGGTTGGGGGTCCCTTGCTCCCAGAGCCCACCTCTCTGCTGCCAATCAGCTGGCTGGCGAAGGGGACTTAATTGCAAAGAAAGGATCTCTCACCCAACGTTTTAGCAACATCCACAATGTGACATCAGTGTGACCCGGAAATGATGTAGATGCAACGGGGATGTCAGGGCGATGCTCCGGTTTTTGGGCAATAGCTCTATGGTATAAGCTAATTCGACCATAGTGTTTTTGTCCCCAAACCAGAGTGTCTCCCCGATGTGCCTACGTCACTTCTGGGTGACATTGAAATTCACATCGGGGAAGTCGGTGAAACATCGGGTGACACTCCCTGCTCTTGGTAACCCAGTCTCCATCCCTCACCGGTTGCCCAGAGGGACCTGGCAACTGTAACTCAAATGGATACGACAGAGACCTGAAGTGGAAATGGATGGTGGAAGCAGGTTTTTGTGACATAGTCCGGGACAGGAGGAGACCTTTCTCAATGTGGCCATTTGCTCCTCTTGACAGATTTCGACTGCTTTGGGAAGCCGAGCTGGCAAAATTCGGACCGGAGAAAGCCTCTCTCGGCCGAGTTGTTCTTAAGTTCCAGAGAACCCGGATTTTGACAGACATCCTGGCAAACTGCATTTGCGTTATTTTTTGCGCTTTAGGACCGGTGAGTCACTTGAGACAATATTTGCAAAAATGCATTTAAAAAGTGTCTTTTGCTCTTTGTCAGGGTGAATAGTTTGCATCCGGAAAGTCCCAGGGACCTTCTCCATTGCAAAAGGGTCTGGTTTTGCAAGGGCAGCCGGACTAGCTCGAGCCTGTTAGGGCTTGGAAGCTAAGAGGAGTTGGCTATGTTTAGTAGTACTTGGAAAGAGGTACTTTTCAAGTACTACTGAACATAGAAAGAGGTACTTTTCTCCCTTTCTCACAATACAAGAACTCATGGGCACTTCATGAAATTGCTGAGCGGTCGGGTTAGAACTGATAAAAGAAAGTACTTCTTCACCCAAAGAGTGATTAACACATGAAATTCACTGCCACAGGAGGTGGTGGCGGCTACAAGCATGGACGGCTTCAAGAGGGAATTAGATAAGCATATGGAGCAGAGGTCCATCAGTGGATATTAGCCACAAGGTATAGCTAGGGGCTCTGGGGCAAGTGATGCTCTGTCTTCTTGGTGCTTGGGGAGGGTGTCAACAGTGGAAGGGCTTCTAATGTCCTGGCCCCACTGGTGGACCTCCTGATGGCACCTGGTATTTCTGGCCACTGTGTGACACAGAGTGTTGGGCTGGTTGGGCCTTTGGCCTGATCCAACATTGGTGTCTCTTATGTTCTTATGGATGGGAGACCACCAAAGAAGAGCAGGGTTACCACGCAGAAGAAGGCCATGGAAAACCGCCTCTGAACATCTCTTACCTTGAAACCCCCATGGGGGTCACCATAAATCAACTGCAACTTCATAGCACTTAACCTTTATATTAATCTTTATCTAGCAAGGCTGAAGAAGCCTGCCTTGGAGAGCCACTGCCAAAATTGACAGTGCTGACATCAGTGGCCTAAATCAATGCAAGGCTGCCTTTTTGCTTTGTGCTGAATCTCGCCAAGGGTCCGTCTAGCAACCCCATCTCTTTTCCACAGGGGTGAACCAGATGCCACAGAAAGCTCACCAGCAGGGCAAAGAGCCGATAAGTCTCCTGATTGGGTTGCCAGCAGTGTTCCCCCTAAGCTGAGGTAGTGTGAGCTAGCTCACTGTTTTTTAGCATCCAGCTCAAACATTTTTGTCTTGGCACAGGAAGGATGGCTCCAGAGCAAACTAATTGATGCAGTAGCCCAATCACTCGCTCATGACTTTAATGCCAGTAGCTCACAAAGTAGAATTTTTGCTCACAAGACTCCACAGCTTAGAGGGAACATTGGTTGCCAGGTCTGAGTTGGAAAATACCTGGAGACTTTGGGGGTGGATCCGGGAGAGGGCGGGGTTTGGGGAGGGGAGGGGCCTCAGCATGGCACAATGCCACAGAGTCCGCCCTTTGAAGCAGCCATTTTCTCCAGGGGAGGTGATCTTTGTCAGCTGGGGATCAGTTTTAAAAGCGGGAGATCTCCAGGCCCCACCTGGAGGCTGGCAACCCTATCCGATCTTGTTCCCCCACAGTAACTGGCTTTCAGTAGCCAATTATTGTTAAGTAAAACAGCATCGGTCCCAGTGCAGATCCTTGGGGGATCCTACTTTGTTTCTTTTTGGGGAGAGGTCATGGCTCAGTGGTAGAGCATCCGCTTGGTGTGCAGAAGGCTACAGATGGTTCAGTCCCCAGCATCTCCATTCAAAAAGGATCAGGCACTAGGTGATGCCCATCAGAGTAGACAAGACTGACCCCCCAAAGTCCACTAGACTGGTTTAATATGAGATGGCATCTTGTAGTTGTTCACACCTGGAGGCTGGCAACCCTATCTCCTGCTGTTCCCCCACAGTAACTGGCTTTCAGTAGCCAATTATTGTTAAGTAAAACAGCATCGGTCCCAGTGCAGATTCTTGGGGGATCCTACTTTGTTTCTTTTTGGGGAGAGGTCATGGCTCAGTGGTAGAGCATCCGCTTGATGTGCAGAAGGCTACAGCCGGTTCAGTCCCCAGCATCTCCATTCAAAAAGGATCAGGCACTAGCGGAGGCCCATCAGAGCA